AAGAATATATACAAATTCCCACAGAATTTACATATCTTCTTTTGAAACTTCAGCATAGTCTAGACGAGCCATTAAGGTCCAGAAGTATTCATACTACCACACATAAACCAGTCCTTGTTTTCCATGTCAGAGTTCACTATTCAGCTCCCAGACTCATCTCACCCCATCCAAACGTTACCACAATATAAAATATATGGAGATCCACTTTAGTACACTGGAAGTCCAAACATTCAGGGAAGGTTCAGAAGAATATTTTAGTTATATTTAGGAATTTCAATTATGACTATCACCATAGTAACTGTGCCTCACAAACATTAATGAAAATAGGCTGTACCTGGGGTTATTGGCTTCATGAATAATCAATGGTGGTAGTTCTGTATCTTGTATTATGCAGGTCAGACTAAATGATCGTAACGGCCCTAAAATCTATGAATAATCCATATTCCCAGTTTCCTTTATTCCCAGTTTCTGTGCGCCTTAACCACAAAATCATCTTCTCTCCCAGTACAAATCAGATAGAGCAGAAAGTGAATTTGGCCTGATGCACTGAAAGAAACCTCTCTCCTCAAGCTACAGATACTGCAGAGCTCTGCATATATCTCCCCCACCCCCAAGAAAGCCTGGAAAGCATCCGGATGCGACAGATACAGCTACCCAAAATGTTATACAATGTCATTGTTCACCAAACAGGTACTTAATAAAAGTTGTGTGACCCAACAAAGGACTGTTCAAGAATGCGCAATTTTAAGCCAAGAATCCAATGGCAAAAAAGATACATATAAATCAAGTATGTTATTGTATCGTTCTCCCGTAGTACAAAATCCAAATTGGTAAACGTAGAACAAGTTTGACTGGAAGAAGGGATAGTTACAGATTTAATCACTGTTTAAATTATTTGAATTTCCACAGTACTCCATAATCAGGTTCCTCTATCACAAAAATAAGCATAGTTGATGCTAATTTTTCCTCCTATGAGAAATTATCAGCATAATCTCTAAAACCTGAAAAATACCAGGGAGACTACTATCCCATATCTAACGCAGAAAACAAATCTTCTATGAAAGCGTGTTAGCTAACCTGTTTTAAGTAACACATTATGTCAAGCAACTTAGTGCACAGTGTATACATGAACAAGCTATATTTAGAAATGTGCTTTGACCCCCTATACCAGATTAAACACAACTAGCCAACACCTCTTTAAATACAACAACCGTTCTTTTCAGTTAAAGCATGTTAGAAAACATGTTAGTTAATACATTTTCTAAACTTGGCACATTTTCCTACTGTATATTAGGCCTTAAAGGTGGTTGAACTACCATCACCAATAGGTGGGTAAGCACCTTCACTCTCCATAGCTGTCAGTGCAACATCTTTTACCAGCACTACATTTGTTTTGATAACAACAACAACAACAACAAAACCAGAATAAGACACAGCATATAATCCCCCAAACAGGCAGCAAACAATAATAATTTTCAGACACTACTGACATAGGCAAGTCGTATGCATATGAGTTAACAATAAAAAATGAGAATCAATTCTGAGAATACTGTCCCATATAGCCAAGATACCTATATTTCAAGATACCATGCAGGCTATATAAACAAGTAGCTCTTCCAATCCTAAACTGGATATAGTAGTTTTTCTCAGCAATCTTCATGCGGGGAGGGGGGGAGGGGAGAGGGAGAGAAGAGAGAGAAGTCTAAATGTAACACTGACATAGAAGAGACATAGCTCACAATGACTTCAGTGGGAAATGTACTTGTGGAAAGAGTTTGGTCTTGTGTGTCTCAGTTTTATTCCATTGCTGTAGCAGGATTATGGCTCCCTACACAAATGATACCTGAGAAGACTGTCAAGGGTTTCTGCATTCAGATACCTGTGACTAGTGGGGAACAAGTGGCAGCTGAGAAAAATTCTCTTGAGAAATGTTGAATATCTTGAAACAAGGTATTTATATGTAACAGAGTCTAATAACTAGATAACTAGGGATGAGGTGACCACTTGTGACAACGAAGTTGAAATACCTTGATAAAAAAGCAAACTGTAGAAGGCACAGGTTGTTTCCAAGTCCTGACAACAGGACTTCGGCTAGCCCACAGATACTCTACAATAATTAGCTTTAGACAGAGATTCCATGATCCCTGTAGAGCTGGGTAACAGACCATCCCACTTGCTATATTATCTCAAAATACTGTGAACCCAACAACTCCAAACCTTCCAACTGTGCAGCTTTCATTTGACAGATTACTAATTTTTCCACACTTACTTATTGTTTCCTTACCTCCTGTCCTGACAGGTAATATGCTGCTAGTAAACCACCAATGAAGCGGATATTGACCTCAAAAACAGATACTTCTGAATTCTGGGAAAAGAGAAAGGCAAATGTTTATAAAGCTTCTCTACATAGCAATAAAGGCATCAGAAAAACTATTATTATTAGCGAAGGGATATACACAAATCCAAATGCACACAAGGACTTGTAGTTGCCAATATTTGGATTCACAAGAACAAACTGCTGGCTAATCTTCAGGACACCAGGCACTATGGCTGTCTGCAGCTCCCTCCTTTTGGTCATAACCCTCCTCCAACATTCTTTCAGAGGTGCCTACATCCCACCTACTGCCCACCCACACTGCCGAATGTGCTGCCTCCCATTCTTTCCCTTATACCTCCATCATTGATTGTCAGTATCTGTAGGATATTGAGAACCATGAATACCCCCTTGTCAGTTCCCTAAAAATGGAATTGCCTCATCCTAGTTCAGGATTCCAAGTAAAATGTATAACTTTTAGACCTAAATTAAGAGAGAAAATCCTTGCCGTTCATCCAATCACCCTTGTTTTCTTTGAGACAGCTGCACAAAAAAAGGAAAAAGGTGCAGCAGCATCAGGAGGGGAGCCAAAGGGAGGCTTTCCCCTTAGTTTGGGAGATGCCTCCCTTCCCCACGCTATACCTCCCAGACACCAGGAAGGGCCTGAGGCTGGGGTTCTCTCTGGTGCCATGCACCCCAGCAAGGGGAGGAGACTTTCCCCCGAGTCAATCAGGGCCTGAGCGCACGAAGTTGCTCTCTCCCTGTCCCACTCTGCCAAGGGTGCATGGTTCCCTCCTGGTAGGGTAGGGAGAGACACACTTTGCGCACTCCCCCACCCCCAGGTCCTGATTGGCTTGGGGGCGGGGGGAGCATGCGAAGTCTCCTCCCCCCGCCGGGGAACACAGTTCCCTCTGGTGCCACACACTCTTGGAGGGGAGAGGAGACTTCATGCACTCCCCTGTCCCCAGGCCTCGACTAGCCTGGGGGCAGGGGAGCAGCAAGGCAGCCACAGGCTGGATCCAGCCCATGGAGGCCTCTTTGCCAACTCCTGCTCTAATGAGAACAGAACTATTTCTCTTGTTTAGCATTTTCATCTTCATACTATATATTACAGAAATGTGCATCTCCGTGAATCCATTAGTTAAAAAATTCCTCCAAAATGTTAAGAGCTAGGGCCACCAAATTTGGTAGGCAGCTTCCTCTTATCATAACTTTTAAAGCAAGGTAAGAGTTTGGTCGTGCCAGGACAATTGGATGTGCCCAGAATTTGATTGTTTCTCATAAAATGGAAAGGGTAGGAGGGACAGGTAGACTGACCACAGGGGGACAACAAACTATATTTACATAGACAACACTAGGGTCCCTTCCCACTTCTAATGGAATGGACACATCCCTTCAGATCCTGCTTATATATATATTTCAGAGAGTTTGTCTGTTTGTGTGTCTGTGCCCCCCCCCCAGCTGGGGGGCATGCATCCCTCCCCTGGTTGTGCCCACTGCAGCAGCCATGGACACACACTCCTCACCTGGGCCCAAATTGCTGCAATAAGAGAAGGCTGAGGGTATCCTCTCTCTCCCCAGGGCAGCCTGCGTACTGAACCCCTCATCCCTAGCCCCAACCCAGAACAATGATTTAAATGAAGAAAAACTAAACTTATGTAGTTAAGGACCCAAGCAGCACCACATAAAGCTTCTAGTGTTCTCCATATGAACAGAATTTCCTAAACCAAAGGAGCTGTAGCCAAGCTAGTATATCATTCTGTTGAATATGAAATTACATATAAACTGAAGCCACATAAAGGATCATTTTGGTTTAATGGTTAAAAAAAATTTCCAGGTGTTGTTAACTGTGGGATCCTAATCCAAAAAGGATGTGGGGATGGGATCACAAGGTTACTGTAGGAGAGTTACAGTATTCCCACCCTTACTGCTGGCTGTGGTGCTGTCTTCATAGCTGGGCAGCTGAAGAGCAGCAGCAGCAGGCCAGAAGCCCAGCTCTAAAGGTGGAGCCAATGATAGCAGTAGCCCTGAAGTAAAGCTGGCATACTATGGTACTGCCACCCTTACTTCTGCACTGCTGCTGGTAGAGTACTGCCTTCGGAGCTAGGCGCCTGGCCAGCAATCTCTGCCACTTTCTAGCCACACTGTGCTGAAGGCAGAGAAGAAGTAAGGGTGGCAACCTTACAATCCCCTTGCAACTGCCTTTTGGGTTGGGATCTTCAGTTTGAGAAATGCAGCCCTGGATTTGGTAGGGTCCTACGTATGTGATGTCTATTATGTGTGATGCCATCCTGCTTGATGCTCCTGTTTTGTTTCCTGTTCTAGGTCAAGGCTCTATGTGTGCAGTTATTTAGGGCACACCGCTATATATCTATTTGGACTGTTTATCTTATATGTACAGACTGACCTAACCAGTTTGTGGTTATTGCATGTTCTGTTTGACAATATTCCTGTGTATTTTGCTTTGATGTGGTTTTGGGTTTGGGGATTTTTTTTATTGACTACTATTCTGGGGTGCATCGGAGTGTAACACTGCAGTGATGAATGTTTCTATTTTGCAACCCATGACACCTGGAGCACATCTTTCAGCTGATGATAATTTGGATGTTTTGAAACTATGTGCTAATTGTGGAACTCTTCAGTGCTACTAGGTTACCTTTGCTACAGAGGTACTTAGGCCATGATCACACTGATATTTATGATGGGCTCCAAGAGTCCAAGTCCTCCTTAGATGCAGATGAGTGGTACCTTAATGAACATTTCAGCACCAAAGAGTCTGTTCTGCTTAAGGAGGAAAATGTTTTTTGAAACTTGCCAGCAGCCCAACAAAACCAGATGTGCATTGGCACATCATCTGTGAAGGACAGCTCAGGAATATGAATGTCAAGGCATGATGATGACTGTGGTCAGGGCATTTATGCGATTGGCATAGCCCGTGACTGCATGGATGAATGGTTACTTGCTGAAGATAATCAGAACTCTAACTTTTTTTGCTACAATTGCTAAGAGTGAGGCATTTGAAAGGGCTTGGGCTAAAAGAGGTTCTATATCTCCGACTGCTCCTACTATTATGTCGGCACTTTAACAGTCAGTTGCTCCTTTTATTTACATAACCCACAATAATACAATGCTACCTACTCCTGCTCTGTGGCCTCAGCAGTGAAAGCTGCCGTCTCACTTTCTGGAGTGGTAATCTGACCAGCTACAACTATGGGTGCTGGGCTTATGGGAAGAAAGGACATTTTAAGTTAACATGTGCATATACAGGTTCATGAAGACAGGAGGCCTGCAGCACATACGGTGAACATGAAGCCCTTCGAGACCACCTTCTTCTCCCCCGACCTTTGTCTGGGGCAGACTGACAGTAGAAACCTGATATGGAAACAAAGGCCTCAATGGTTCCCCACATACAGTGATGCTGCCAGGGAACTGTAGCTGGACTCAGAAAGGACCTAGAAAGGATATTCTCATAGATCACAGCAGAAAATTGCAGTGGATTTTACTGGGCCTTGGTTGCACCACACTGACCGTTTCAAACTCTTACTCATAATTCTTAATTATGAATAATGCATTCATAATATCACAGGGCACCCCCAGAAGAGCTACTTTCCTGACTAACCACTTTATTTACTGTGTTCGGCTTACCAGAGAGTCTTGTTTTAGATAACAGGACATCTTATGTACCAAAAGAGTTTGAAGGCTTTCTGATGAGAACTGGTACATGCAATCTTTCCACTATCTCATTTCACTCACATATATAGAAGCTTTACAAAGTTGTACAGCCTTTACAAAGCTCTGTATATGCCAAGGAAACGAGACAGTGAAAAGATTGCACAAGACTGTCAAGTAATGTGTAGCTTACATATTAGCGCAACACTCAGCTATACCCTTGCAACTAAGCCCTGGTTATATATTATAGTTGGAGTACACTCCATGTAAGTACTGGAGTAACCCCATTCTATCACTTCTTCAGGCAACCTAGTAGGACCAAGTTGTTTATAATGCCAGAAAAGGATCACTCCACTCCTTTCCTGTCCGTGAAGCTAAGTGATGTGATTAGGAAATACATGAGTTGCAACAAGCGTAAAGACTCCAGGCATTCTATCCTGGTCAAGCAGTGTATGTTAGTTGGGGATCTGGAAGCATTTTGAGTGCTTCTGGTGTGATCTCCTGGGCTACTAGCCAAGGAGTACATCAAATGCATTTACCACAGTTCACCAGCAAGACATACTGCTTACTGATAGAGGAATACATACGAAAGAGGATGCACCTTCTGAGCATAATGGTGTCACGTAGCCAACTGGGAAAGTTGTACCACAGCAATAGCACCTACATGGTGAGCTGAATCAGCGGTACAGCCTATAGCCCTACTTGATGCTTCCCACTGAGCACCGCTGAACTTTTGAGGAGAAAGGAGAGAGAGTTTGTGTATGTATGTTCTATTCAGGAACCCTTGATATATATCTGCTGTTCAGAATGTTATGTTTTGTTCCAACTGTCACTGACCTCACCAGTTCTTGATTATTACATGTCTGATTGACAACCCACATGTGAGTCTTCTTTTCAGTTGCTGTTTTGTGGTTTTGGATTGTTATTCCAAGGTGTATCAGAATATATGCATAATAAACAATTGAACTGAAATATTGTAAGTAGTTTATGCACCACCATTTGAAAAGTAAAATGCCTTCTTCCACAACTGAATATTCCGCTGGCTGTTGAAATGTGTTTATAATTTGATCTCTATTGGGGATAACTTTGTACTTATTTCTTCTGCAGAGATTTTAATGCTTCTCATGGAACATATAAGTATTATCCATGTTTTGGCAATCACTCTAACGTTCAAAAACATATTACATAGAAAGACATCCTTATTAGAGGGCCACAGACATTCATTTTTCAAAACGCAAAAAATAAAAGAAGTCCTTTGAAGTTTAGCCATAAACCTGAATTTCAGTGCTTTCCAAATAAATGTTTTTTGTCTCCTCAACCAGTTTTTTTTCGGTAGGGAAGATTACGATGTGTTTTCTCAAAACACTTTTAAAAGGACCAGTGAAATGCGAGGAGATGTTCTACTCACCACACTAAAATCAAGGTGTTTGTCAATCCAGTCTTGTCCTTCTCTGAATTCATCATGAAGCCCCATGATATAGAGAGTATCCAAAGCATCCACTATGGTAGCACCCATTTGCGAATTTCCTAAGGGCAAAAAATAAGATTTTTATTACAACTGATTATTTCATCAGAAAAAAATGTAAAAAAGAAAAATAAATAGTCAAAGTAGTCTAGACCTTGACCAGTGATGAGGCGATGGTACAAGGAGGCAATCTCAGTCAGACAGAAGTTAAAAGCAGCTTGAAAGCACATCCTTCCTCTTGTGTGGAGCTCAGGTGCATTGCTAAAGGCTACACTTTTGGGTTTTGGGAGAAATGGGAGAAGGAAACTTGAAAAAGACCATTTTTATCTGATTTGCTCACCAGAATATGAACAACCATACTCTCAGGCAGCTATAAGAACTGTAAGGACATTCAACTTCAAATACCTGTCACAGGAGCTAGAGTAACTCCAAGTAGCTGTAGTAATTTTTGCCCATCCTGACAAACAGTGGAGGAATTAGACTGAATTTTGCAAAGTGATGTTAGTTAGTTGCTGTCAACTATTATCATTGTGTCATATTCCAAACAAAAGCCTATACTAAGATGCAGTTAAGGTTCCAGATATGTACCCGTATCCTGTAGTGATCCTGTGCAATAAGTATATAATTATGATTAAAGCATTTTGCGCTTCTAGTCCCAGATCAGACTGAGGTGATTTTTAAAGACACATTCAATCTTTATTTTCCCTCTTTCTTATGGAATCACTTCAAGGGAGAGACAAGGTTTGGGTGTTTGTGATTGTGTGTATAAGCCTAACAGTAAGGAACTAAAATGGTTAACAAGCAACTCTGGGCCCAAAAGGAAGTTACTGGGAATGCTCATAATGGAAGTAGAGCTCAAAAGACAGCTGCTAAATTTAGTTACAGTTACTGGAGCATGGGAGCAGCCCTACGCTACTAGCTTCTGTAGAGAGGCTGCAGGAACTCCAGAGTGCCTGCACCAGAGCCCATGGCTGAGTCACGGAAGGCTCCCATGGAGACTGGGAAGAGCAAGCCATGACCAAGGGAGAAGAGCTTCCATACAACAATGTCAGGTAGAGGCCAGGGTAGGAAACAACCTAGGAAGCAGGCAGGCTTCATGGTGTCAACTCCCAGACTGCTTCTCTGATTGCCAATCACAGGGCTCTGGGTTGAAACTTGCTGTAGCAAAGAGAGACCAGTGTAACAGTCTGTATCCCTATGATAACACTTTTTTTCAAGACTAGGACAAATTTTGTACAAAATATGCCTTGTGAGCTATCATTTAAAGCCCATGATTGTCCTGGTAAAATATGCCTGAAGACATTGTATGTAAAGTTGTAAGACTGTACTGTAGAACATTATTGAGATATAGTCCAAGTGTAGAAAAGCAGGCACAAAGTAGTTACTTGAAGACAAAAGGCAAACTGACACCTCAGACAGGTATCAAGAAAATCGGATGGACTATCACCTGGTTAAACAGCCAGCCATTCTTTGCCAGGAAAAGGGGTGGGAGAAATTTACATCCTAGCAAAGAAGCAGCTGGAAGTTCTCATCTTCAGCCAGTAAGAATTCCTGCCAGTAAGACTGCTAGACCATGTTGTGAGATAAAGTTTTCCTTTGAATTCACTCAGCTTGTGAGTTTGGGCATTAGTTGTGTTTTACCTTTTATTTCTTTGTAACCAATTCTGACTTTTATGCCTCATTATTTGTAATCACTTAAATCTATCATTCTGTGGTTAATAAACATGTTTTGTTGTTTTATCTAAACCAGAGTGCTAGGACTGGAGCGTTTGAAATACTTCATTTGAGATAAGATGTGTACATATCATTTTCTGTTAATAAATCTCAGACTTTAGATGAGCTTGTGTTGTCCAGAAGAGAGCCAGGCAGTACAAGATGCTCATTTCTAAGTGTAAGTCTGGGAAAGGGAGTTTTCTGGTGTTGCCCTGCAGCAATTCAAGAGTGGCTGGCTATAGATTCGATATAACATAGCTCGGAGTGAGCCGATGATGAGTGGTTGTTTTCACAATGAACAAGCATCAGACGTACACAGGTTAGGGAACTGAAGTGGTACAGCTATCCTTCAGTCCAGATTATACTCTGGGAAATGTCATACCCAGGTTCCCCTACTATCAGCCACTGACCCTCACCACTGGGAGACACAGCAGAACTCGGATACAACCCCCAGGTTGTGTATTAATTGTGTATTTTTCAGCTTTATATTTCTGGATTTCTTTCAAGCTATAACTGAATTTCCTGGAGTTGTAGTGCTTAATTCTGGGAGAATCACAATATCCCTGTAATATTTTCCTACCCTAATTACTGATATACAATTACAAACTGAACTCCATCTTAATTTTTTGTCTTGGAATAAAAATTATCTGCAACAATCTTTAATAGTTTAATTATAATACTAAACCTCTGACCAGAGAACATGGGTTGTACCACTTTATAAATATTCCTGTTTTGGTTACTGACTCTGAAGTGACTGGGACTGAGTATTGACAGAATACAAGTAAGCTTCTGCTTCACCCCAATCTAGGCACTTCCTCTCTGTTTTAGATGTTTGCAAACCAACTCTACTTTTGTCCTTTGATATACGTGCATTGTGCTAGGCTTTACTATGGGTTGAATAGTTTTAAAAGATTGTAAACAAAAATCAATATTTTGAAGCAGTATCTCTTCTGCTGTGCTCCCAGAGAGCACAAAGTGAGTGGAAAACACAAGCCCCCTGCTGGGGATTCTTTTAAGTAGAGGAGACCACACCAAGTGTAGCGCTCCTACATTTCCTTCTCAGTAGTCTGACACGCAGGAATGTTGCAGCTGGATTCAATCATTTAAGGATAAATGGGGGTGGGAGGTGGTCATGAAGAGGCCCCCAAATTATTCTACACTGCACTGAGAATCAGACAGCAGTAAATGAAGCATCTTCCCTTCTCCTCTCCTGGACTGCTCTCTCTGGCTACGTGGAAAGGAAAGCAGAACCGTCCTCTATTAGGTGCTCCCTTGGGCTCAGGCAGTGTCAGCCTGAACCTATTCTGTTCTCCCTGTTCTCCCAGCCTAGCAGGTAAACAGGCAATGGTGCAACCAGAATTACTCTTCCCACTTTTTCTGATTCAGCTCATTGCCAACAGAGAAGCTGCAGTAGGGAAGGGACAGCAACTGCTCAGAGCACTCCACAAACAACTGCTTCGGAAACGGTAGGGAGGCCAACTTTCTAATGACAGAAACCTGAACATCCTTGCCCTGCCCATACCTACAGCCTCACCCCACCTATTCTCTGAAGTCTGAGCGCCTCCCCATTCCATCCCTCATCTCTCCGTCACTTGCTCTCCCCCACCCTTGCTCATTGGCTCATTTTTACTGGGTTAGGGCCGCGGACTGGGGTATGAAAGGGATGAGGGCTCCACCTGAGGGTGAGGGGTTTGAGATGTAGGAGGGAGTTGCGGGCTGGAGGAGGGGCTGAGGGGTTTGGAGTGGGGAAGAGATCTCCAGGTTAAGGGAGGGGCTTGACGTGTGGAAGGGCATATGAGTTCTGGGCTGGGGGAACAGGATCCACAGTAGGACCAGAAAGGAGGAGTTTAGGAGGCGGGAGTGGGCTCCAGACGGGGGTAGGGGGTTCAAGAGCACGAAGGGGTAGGGACTCATGTTAGGAGTGGGGGCCCAGAGTTGGGGCTGAGGATGATGGGTTTGAGTTGCAGGAAGGGGGTCTAGGCTGAAATCACAGGGTTCGGCATATGGGAGAGGGCTCCAGGCTGGGGCAGGAGCTTGGGGGGTGGGAAGGGGATCGGGGTGGGACAGCGGGTCAGGGCATGCAAGGGAGTTTGGGATTTGGGCTCCAGGTGATGCAAACTTCAGACAGCTCCCAGAATGTGGCAATGTGTCCCTCCAGCTCCCGACCTAGACTGAGGGTGGCAGTCAGGGGGCTCTGCATGCAAAGCAGACAGAAGAGTTTGAGAGGGGATTTGAAAGAGAGAGCCCCAATACATGTGCCAGCACTGCTCCTGTAGCCAGCCAGACCATTGATGCCTCTATCCAGATCCTGGCCTGGTTTGCAGGGACTGTGGCTTGCAATTCCCACTTACTGAAATCCAGGCTTGGGGGGGGGACCATCCAATGCAAAAGGCGCCTGCTGGTGGAATCTCTCAGGAAGCAAGTGCAAGAGCTACAGGAGGAGGTGGCTAGGCTGAGGAGCATCCAAGTCCATGAGGAATTCCTTGAGAGTATTCATGTGGATATTCCTAAGGAAGCTACCTCATTACAAGAGACTGCAGGCACACCACTGATGGAGGAGGAGATGGCTCCGTTTCAGGGGGGACACTGGCAGCTGGTCACCTGGCAGCAGGCAGCGCTCCACCCCTGCTCCCAACACTCCCACACTCCCTGGTACTGGAGAACCATTATGCTGTTCTAGGTACAGGAGATAAGGAATCACCCCCTAAGGCAGGAGAGGAGAAGCCAGGTACCCCACCCGCAAGGCTCAGAGATCTGCTGCCACCACTGCAAGGAGGAAAAGTAGGGTAGTGGTGGTTGGAGACTCCCTTTTAAGGGGGGTGGAGGCATCCATCTGTTACCTTGACATAACATCTCAGGAGGCAGAGGCCCATATCCGAGATGTTATGGAGGCACTGTCAAGGATTATCTAGACCTCTGACTACTACTCCATGCTATTCATTAATGACACAAGAAGTCATTTTTCAACTCTATTCTGTGCTGATCAGGCCTCAACTGGAGTACTGGGTCCAGTTCTAGTCACCACATTTCAAGAAAGATGGAGAAATTGGAGACGGTCCAGAGAAGAGCAACAAAAATGACTAAATGGCTAGAAAATAATGACTTACTAGGAAAGACTGAAAGAACTGGGCTTGTTTAGAAAAGAGAAGACTGAGAGGAGACATGATAGCGTTTTTCAAGTATCTAAGGGTATGTCTACAGTACAGCGCTATTTCAAATTAACTTAATTTAAAATAGTTAATTCAAATTAAGCTAATTCGAAATAACACATCTACACACAAAATCTATTTTGAAATAGCATTTTGCTATTTCAAAATAGCATGTCCACACTGATTGGACGCTGGATCGC